CTTTGTAGAACTTTTTCTTCTGTTGTAAGTTGGATTGGATTTTCTGAAACTACTATATTTGTTATTGGGGGCTGGGTTGTATTATTGACTGTAGGTGGGATTTGACTAGGGGCCCAGATGGATCCGTATACTTCTTTGATTATCATGTGATGGAATTCCGGTGAAAGGTTTACTGCGGTCTTATGATTTCGAGTAGGTACTAGTGTTTCTTCAGTAATGTCCCCTAAAGGTAGTTGTTTAACAATATGGATACTAATAAAATTCTGAATAAATTGGTTAGTATTGATAAGATTGATATTATGTTTAGATTTTAGCTATGTTAGTTTATCCATAATTATGGTTTGAAGTGTTGTACTATTATATTGGCAGGTAAGCCAGTGCTGGTCTGTTTCAGTTGCATTTTTGCATTGTTTACAACTTGGTGATGTGTGGGTATTTGGGTGCCATTTGAATAAGTTTAGTTGATTTGGTAATTCATTCTTTAGGATTTTAAATTTGAAATTTTTAATTTGAGATAGTTTAGGATCGGTATGTCTTGTGCGAGGTTTATCATCATGTCTCAGATATTGGAAGGTAGGTTGCCACTGCATTTTTGATGTGATTGTGAACCAGTGTTGGATTCGGTTTTGTGTAAACCAGTTGTCGATATTTGTTGCAGTATGTAAATTTTTAATAGTCCGTTTTATGTTGTCAGATGTTAACTGGTGGTTAAATCTGAGAAGATACAGTCGTCCTCCCCTACAATCACCTAGTTTATCTAGCAAAATCTGTGATTATATAGAGGTGTGATTAAACAGAATTCCCTCTATATAATCACACAATATAATATAATCAGCACAATGTGATTTTAAAGAATTTATTAATTAATAAAAATTATTTCAAAATAACCTAACAAATTTATATACAGTAATTAGCTTATTCTATAATATTAATACAGTATAATAATTTTATGCCCTATAATTAAAACCCGGGTATTATTTACTATACCTATCAGTGATGTAAATTGGGTTCGCGCAGTAGGTGCAGCGTACATAGGTTTAAATTTGCACGTATATCAGCGCTCTCCATATATATAGCGCGCGTATAAATTTTTTTTTTTTGTGCACATTTTTTTGCGTTTGCACGAATAAAAATTTTTTGAATTTATAACACTGATACCTATTAGCCTAATTTTTGAATAATAACCGGGCATAACTATATAAATATTATCTCAGTCTTAAAAAATTCTAGATTAAATTTCAAATTATGAGGAAATTATTACTTGTTTCACGAGATTAATTGCTTTCCTTTCCGTGAATATGTTTTTAATAATATTACAATCTATTGAGAATTCTATAAATAATTCTATAACTATTCTTACAACCTGCTACCTGACATTATTGCATTAATCGAATTACTAATGTTAGGCTGTGCTGCCTTCATATGGTATTATAGCCCATTCAATTTGTAAAATCAAGTTACCCAAGATACCACATCCATATACCCGGGCACTAACCAATTTAAAAAATAGGGTTTCGAATAAGACCCGGAGGTACTACAGTATAAAGCAGCGCTAAATGGCAAAGTCAAAAAGTCAATAACTTACCTTTTGAATAAAAATAATTTAGATCACAGTTATCCACGATTTCACGATTATAATAAACAATTTGGTACCGGAATTGTAACAATATTGACAGCAATACATTGAGTAAGCTAATGCCAAAAAAAACACCCCAAAAATTTTACTTTAAATTCAAAAAATATTCACAAAAAAAAAAAAAAAAAAAAATGTTTCAAAATTAAATTCACATTCACGAATTCCGCATCCGTATGACTAAATATTAATCAATTAAAGAATAAATGTTTAAATAAAATCCTCAGTACTTTAAAGCAGCGCTGAATGGTGAAAACCAAAGAATCAATATCTTACCTTCCATGTAATTTATCTCTGATCCCGATTGATATCGCATTATTTACAGTTATTGACTATAATGACTGATTTGACACCAAAATTGCCATAACATTAAATTGAATAATCGAGTACAGTATAAGCTAATAACGTAAAAACATCAAAAAAAAAGAAAAAAAAAATCTCAAAAAAAAAAAAAAAAAAAAATTGCCCTAAAAAAATTAACCTGCTATTAATTATACAGGTAAGAAAAAGTCAGAAATTGATTTTTGGTTCATTGATTCCGTATATTTTCTCCTCATCAATGACACGTATTTCCTGAAAACCTTCAAATCTTCTACATTAAAATCATCGCTTTTTTGTTACTCAAAAAAGCCAACAAATTTTTTTAAACCGTCTAATCCCTCTACAACAGAAACTTCAGGTGGTTCATCATCTGTATCACTTGCGTCACCTTCTTCATATTCTCGTTGTTCATATAATACAATATTTACAATTTGCATTTCATCAAGAGTATCCTCTGTAAGTATTTGAGAATTATTTAAATTGTTGAAGTTATTTATTTCACGCTCAATTGCCAGGTTTAATGAATTCGATGTTAGGTCTACGATTAATTCGTCATTTTCATTTTTTTCAAAATCCACCAAGTCTTGCAGGGCAAGAGTAGCATCTTCAATTTCGTCACCAGATAATTCTGGAAGAATTCCAGTTTTTACCCAACAATTCACAATTGTTGACGTTTCAACTTCATCCCATGATTCCGCAACGTAAGTTATCGCTTCTCTAATGTTCAATTTTTGACTGTATAATTCAAGAAAGTTTAAATTAATAAAATTCTTTAAAACCATTCTATAGAAAAAATGGTAGCACAGAAAAGTAGCAAAAACATAAAAAAAAAACAATTATCGTTTAGCACTGCATATACGTAGGTCTGGGTACTACACTAATCTAATGATTGAATCATACTATTTTGGATATTATATGCAGTGCTATCGCTATACAGTATTGTTGAAACCAAACTAAAATTAGAAAAAAAGCCCAATCAGCCAGAACGCCGTATTAAGAAATGCACTACAGCACTAGCGTTACCACTTAAAAAACTTCACTGGCCAATCAAATTTCAAAGATCATATGTAATGCAAAAATCATAACAATCCAAAAATCATCCATACCACAAAATTTTACGTACGTATCTGCTGCAGTGCTATGAAACTGCCTTCTGTATTAAAGAAAATTTTTTTTCTTGAAAAATTGTTATTATAAGGGGAGTGTCAGATATCAGCTGATATCGTAGGGTAGGGGGGAGGTAGACAAAATCTCAGGTCTAATATACATATAACCAATCAGAATGATTAAATCTCTTAGGTGGAAGGGAGGGAGGAGAGCTCTATAGTAAATTGATCTCAGCTAATATTTGACACATCCCTAACCTAACCTGATAGTGAAACTTGACCTTAATCCAACAGCGAAATTTTCTTAGTGAAGCTTTTTAGGTTAGTAACACTAGGCTCATTAATATGTCTTTACGTTTTTAAATCCTCTCCCCTTTCAAATTGATCAATTATATGTCGTATGTATTTTCTTTTGTACTTTGCTTTAAAACTATTGATGATACCCGCATCCATCAGTTGCAGGTGAGCAGTAGTGTGAGGTGGCAAAAACTCAAGCCTGACATTTGTTAAAGGAGTTTCAGAAGGTTCTGGAAGTCTATAAGGACGAGCACGGCCCCGACGACCCTTGCTACCACAAGAAGCCTGCCCACGACCACGACCACGGCCACGACCACGAGAATTTCGTCCACTTTGTTTATTTATGTTACTAGCACTTAACCTTGGGCGACCACGGCCACGTCGAGTAGAGTTCCTAGAAGAGCTTGCATGACCATCTTCATTTTCTGAATTTTCACTTTCTAATTCCTCTTTACTATTTAATTCTTCGTCTGATTCTGACACATCTTCATTAGAATCATTATCTTCATCATTATTTTCATTAGATTCATTAGGATTATAATGGCTTGATGCGCCGTCAACTAACAACAAAATATGCCAGTTTTCCAAGCGAAACTTCTTATCAAGCTCTGTAAGCCATTCGCCAAAGATATCTGATCGCATCCAGGCTTTTAAATTTGACCGGTATGTAACAGGTAAGGTATCATAATTTAAACGGGCTAGAGCATGGGGTTCAATAGAAGATCCAATAACTATTGGCTTTAATTTTTCAGTTCCAGTTGCATTTGCTGTTAACATTACAGTAATGCGTGTACAATCCTAAGAAAGTTAATTCAATAATTAAAACAAAATTAAAATTTTTAAATCTTTGTTAAAAACAGCATACAAATAATTTTTTATTTTATTATTCTGGTTTAAACTTGTACACAATAAAGACCTTTTTCCATCCTGATTGTGGTTGCGATGAGAGCGTTTGATGTGGTGCCATCCGAAAGAATAGCCCTGTCTCATCTGCATTAAAAACGTTTTCTAATGGATATTCTTTTATTATTTCACGAAATTTTATTCTTTGTTCTGGAAGTATTTCCATCGGTGCACTATTGGCTTCTCCATGTAACCGATAGTTTCGTAGCTTATTCCATTTTTTGAACTTATAGACCCAACCATTAGAAAATTTTAATGCGCTATCTGGCAAACCTAATGCCCGGGCAAAAAATGCAGCCTTTTCTTTAATGATTAAATTCGTCAAAAATATTTGACCACTTATAACCTGCTCAACCCAAAGTTGCATGGCCTTATCTAATAATGGGAACTTAACTTTTTTGTGACGAAAAGTTGTCATGCTAGTTTTGTTATTGTCAATCGCCAACCATTTTTTTTTTTCTTTTAAAATTTTTGAAATTGTTGAGCGATCAATATTTAAAATTGAATTTTTTTGATTAAAATAATTTGCAATGTTTGATTGTGTTTCATGCGGAAACTTATTACTATACTCGCAAATTTCATGCTTTAAGCTATTACTAATTGCTGTTTTAGCTCTTTTTTTTGACATTATTATAAACTCTTGAAAGTAAAAAAAAACTCTACAGCGAATTTAAACCTTAACCAAGACAAAGCCTTGACCACGGCGAAGCCTTAACCCTGAATACGACAAAACTTTCAAGTTAATCACGGCGAAACCTTGGCTCTGAACACGGCAAAACCTTGGCCCTAAACATGGCGAAACCTTGACTCTGAACACGGCTAAACTTTAACCTTGACCACGGCGAAATCTTGACCGGCGAAACCTTGACCTTGACCACGGCAAAACTGACTTTGATCACGGCGAAACCTTGACCTTGACTGCAACGAAATCTTGACCACGGAGATGTACCTGCTGCAAAAATTTGACTGCAGCAAAATTTGAACACGGATTTTTATAGCAAAACTTGAAACATAAAAAAAACCTTGATTATAAAGAATTTATGCATGGTAAATTTAACTGTACTTACAGGAAACTTGAACACAGTAAAACTTAATTAAGGCCAAGCTAAAAATTGAACGCAGAAACTGACTACGTAAAGCTTGGTTGTTGCAAAAACTTCTAAGCGCACAAAAAATTTTTTTGCAAATTTATAGGTAAGAATTTATCTGACCAATCATAGTTAAATATTTATAGCCAATAAAATCGTACATATAATTTGTGATTTTAAAGAGGTAATTTAATTAATAAATTAGTATAAACCCATTTAAAAAGAGTGTGATAGTGATTGTAGTACGATTGTGATTATATAGAGGTATTTTTAATATAATTTAGGCAAATGGATATGTTTGTGTAATTGTATAGAATTTGTGATTACATAGGAGGTGATTGTAGGGAGGACGACTGTATATGTTGTGGAGGAGTATTGATGAGTCTATTTCGAGTTTTCTGATAGAGGTTTGTATTATTGTTGTATTGTTCATTTGGGTATAAGTGCTCATAATAGATATATCTTTAGCGAGGATTGCAGCTCTAATAGCAGTTATGTATCCTATGTTATAATCTTTACGGATTGTGTATAGTATTATTGGAGAGGTATCTAGAACAGTTGGTAAAATTTTAAGTAAGATGGTTGAGTTTGTGTTTAATTGTATTCATGTATGATGAGGTATAATAGTAATTAAAGTGTATAATGCAGTTATAGCAATCTTGGTGGGACTTAGCCAAAAATTGTTTTGCACTACGATTGTTGTATGATCGTTATTTAGTGAAATTGTAGCTGTCAGCTTAGGGGAAGTGTCCTTAGAGGGCTTGATGATTAGTTGTGTTCTGAATTCTGTTGCATTGGGTATAGATAGGTATGTTTTCTATATGTCCTTAGCATGTTGGTTGAAGGTCTGAGCCATTTGAAATAAGTATGAGTGATTACGAGATATGTAATGATATGGTTGGGTACTAATTTTTCTGTTTGGTGGTGAAGTTAATAAGTTGGTTAAGTTTCCGTGCCAAACATGTTTTGATGAAACTTGAATCTGGAAGGTAGCATGTT